TGCCTTTGCCAGGACTTCCTTTGATGTATCTCAGAATTCTCTCCACCAAGCTCCAATGATAAACAGTGGGCTCTTTCATGTGTTGAGCTACCTGATTCATAGCAAAAGACAAGTCCGGTCGAGTATATGTCAAGTATATAAGCTTACCAACGAGTCTTCGGTATTGTTCTGGGCAATGGTAAGGAGTGTCATCTTTCTCCCCCTTTCGATTGACCTTGTAACCTTGCTCCAATGGTGTATCAACTGGTTTAGCTCCAAGCTTCCCTATAAGTTTTAGAAGATCAAGAGCATATTTCCTTTGTGAGAGAAACAGTCCCTCCTTGGATCTACACACCTCGATCCCTAAGAAATACTTTAACACACCCAAATCTTTAATATCAAAAGCCAAGTGTAAAGAAGACTTAATAGCTTGGATACTTTCTTTGTTACTGCCCGAGATAATCAAGTCATCAACATAGATCAACACTACTACGATTCCTTGATTATCTTGTTTAGTAAACAAAGTGTGATCCGAATGTGACCTTTTGAAGCCTTCTCTAAGCAAGGTTGAACTCAACTTGTGGTACCAAGCTCTTGGGGATTTTTTGAGGCCATATATAGCTTTTCGAAGTCTTAAAACCTTTCCCGGAGCCACTATGTCTTCTAAACCCGGAGGAGGTGTCATATAAACTTCTTCTTTCAACTCCCCCTGAAGGAAAGCATTCTTGACGTCCATTTGCCACAATTCCCAATCCAAGTTCACAGCCAAAGATAGAACAACTTTTACGGTGTGTTGCTTAGCTACCGGAGCAAAAGTTTCCCTATAATCCTCTCCATAGGTTTGAGTGAATCCTCTTGCAACCAATCTAGCCTTGTGTCTTTCAATTTCACCATTACTCTTATACTTTATGGTGAAAACCCACTTTGAGCTAACACATCTCTTCCCTTGTGGAAGTTCTTCTTCATCCCATGTATGATTCCGAATCATAGCTTGTACTTCATCATCCACAGCATTAGTCCATTCCTTTCTTTCCTTGGCTTCCTCATAGCTTTGTGGGATGAATTCCACATCTAGCTTACTAAGAAAAGCTTTATGTTCCTCGGGAAGAAGGTCAATCGAACATGTCGCTTGAATGGGGTGAGCAACAGCTTGACAATTGAAGAGAACCTTAGGCTTCTTTGCCCTTTTACTTCGTCTTGGGTTTTGTAACGTGTAGACCGGTTCATTTGTTGTTTGAGGAATTGAGTTAGTCTCTTCTTCGCTTGATGATCTAATGACTTCATCTTCACTTAGTGGACCGATCTCTTCTTCACTAGATTCTTCCTCTACAACATTCTCATGGTTACCATGCGACGACTCTATTGGTGTTTCAACTTCACTTTCTTGAGTCCCACTTGTAACTTCGCCTGGTATCTCTTCCGTAGTGTCTTGAGGTATGTTAACATTATCCAAATGCTCAAGAATGTGTTTAAGACTCTTTGCTCTATCCGAAGTTGAGTTAGGTAGGTCCTTTACACTCTCCCAATTCTTTTCTCCGAAATACGCCTTGTCTTCCATGAATTTCACATCTCTAGATACATAGTATCTATTGTTGGTTGGATCAAAGCATTTGTAGCCTCTTTGAGTAGTGGAGTATCCGATGAACACGCACTTGGTACTCTTGGGCTCTAGCTTATTCCTTAAGTCACCTGGAATGAATACAAAACAAACACAACCAAACACTCTCAAGTGCTCAATGTTAGGGTTTTGGTTATTCAATACTTGAAAAGGTGATTGATCATTATGAACTCTAGTTGGAATTCTATTAATAAGATAACAAGCGGTCATAACCGCATCACCCCAAAACCTCTTAGGCATATGCTTATGAAATAACATTGCTCGTGAGACCTCCATGAGGTGTCTATTCTTCCTTTCCGCAACACCATTTTGTTGAGGGTTGTATGGGCAGCTTGTTTGGTGTAAGATCCCACACTTTTCCAAATGGGCTTTGAGCTTGGTGCTCGTATATTCACCTCCATTATCTGTTCTAAGAATTTTGATCTTTGCATCAAAGTGATTAGTCACATAGTTTTGGAAGTTTAGAAATGCATCATAAACTCTGTCCTTAGATGGAAGCAAAGTTACCCAAGTATACTTAGATCTCATCTATGAATGTCACAAAGTATTTATGATTATCTCTAGATGCACAAGGTGAGGTCCAAACATCCGAATGCACAAGATCAAAACACTTCTCATAAATAGCATTAGACTTAGGGAAAACCGTTTTGCAATGTTTACCTAAGATGCATGCTTCACAATGAGAACAATCATAAGATAAACCGGGTAATAACAAGTTCAAAGCTCTAGAGTGTGGATGGCCAAGTCTATCATGCCACAATACAACTGAAGTCTTAACATTATTTGCAGAAATAGAAGAGTTTAAAGAAGTGTCTTCAAGAACATAGAGATCATCCTTGGTGCCTCCTTGTCCAAACACAGTACCGCTCTCAATATCCTGCAACTTAACATCATTAGGACTAAAGATAGCAAGACAATTTAAGTCCTTAGTTGTTTTCTTGACCGAGAGCAAGTTAGAAGTGAACTTAGGCATATAGAAAGCACTAGACTTCTTGTTAAACAAGGTTATGCAACCTATTCCTTCTATTGGAACATTATGACCATTTGCAACCTTAACATTCCCTAGTGCCGGTTTAACATTCTCTAATAACCTAGGATTACTTATCATATGATGAGAAGCTCCGGAGTCTAACACTAATGAATCTGAATCATGAGAGTTAGAGGTAAAGAGAGAGATACCGCCGGGATGCATTTTGGATGCTATGGATTGAAGAAGAGCTTCAAGATCGGCCTTGTTCATGGTGATGGTTTCTTGAGCTTGAGAGGTAGAAGTGGTACATCCCTTGTCTTGAGCAGTAGCTCGCATTGCTTTCTCTTGATGTCCATATTGCACAATGGCCCTCTCTTCATTATCAAGTAGTCCTCTTTCACTTGTGTTTGCTACATTAGCTCTCGGCTTGGAGTTCTTGAACTTTTCCGGCTTCAAGTGAGGGTGTAGGATCCAACACTTGTCTTTGAGGTGACCCTTCTTCTTGCAATGATCACAAAACCAAGTCTTTTTATCATCTTGTTTCACCATCCCGACCTTGTTTGCCGTTGGAAGACTCTCTCCTTTGCTACCAAATAGACCTTGCGAACCATACTCCCTTTGTATCTTTGCACACACTTGTTCTAAGGTAGGGATCTTGTCATCTCTCAAGATGTGTTGGATCACATCCGTGTAGCTTGAATTAAGAGTCAACATCAACTCAAAGACAAGATCTTGTTCCCTACGCTCCTTAAGTGTCTTTGCATCCGTAGTGAATGGCCTTAGCATCTCTAATTCAGCAACAAGCGATCTATACTTCCCAAAGTGAGCATTAAAGTCGCTATCTTCTTGACTTAGTTCCCCTAGAGCCTTCTTAATCTCATAGATCCGAGTCAAATTTGATTCATTACCAAACACATTCGCGAGAGTATCCCAAAGCTCCTTGGATGTCTCACAATACGAATACCCTTCTAAGATAGAAGTTTCAAGGGAGCAATGCAAAGCACTAAGGACATTCAAGTCATCTTGCTTCCATGTGTCTTTGTCAATGCTTTCATCCAAATTCTTCAAGTCTTCAAAGGTTGATTCAATGTGCTTTGTGAGCCTCCTACTGCCGAGCACATTAGTAGTTGTCCTCTTCCACAAGAGGTAGTTGTTCCCGTTTATAATCACGGAGAACTTCAACTTCAAATCCTTGTAAGTATCACTCATTGTACAAACCAATTTAATAACCAGTCCAACGTAACCAACGTAATCCCACAACGGGACTTCCAACAAAAATCTCCACCGTTCAAATCTTAGATAAACGGGTCAGGAACAACACTGCAAAATTTCAGCTCAAACCGAGAAGAACTCACCGTTAGATCTTCCAAAGACTCACGACAACTGCTGCAGAAAAATCTGGAAATTTCAGATACGACCAGCCACGATAAAACTCATATTTCTCCTAAACCAACCGTTGAAACACGATCTCCACCGTTGAATCTCAAGACCACTGAGTCATGAAGCTACCTTCCAAAAATCAGCCAAATCGGAGCTCGTTTGAGTGTCCAAACGATTAACAAAATCAAAAGACGCTCAAGAAAGAAGAATAAGAGAGAAAGCAAGATTAGAAACTAGAACCAAAGCTCTGATACCATGTAAATATTTAAGATTTCAAGTATGAAATGTTGAATGGATCATGATTAAAGATGGAGAGAAAAGATAGAAATGTATTGATTAAGAAGAGAGATTTCATGAGTAGGCGGCTGTGTGGCTTTATATAGAACAGATTCTAGGTATGATGGGTTACGCACATTACGTGGGTTACACACATTACAAGCATTACGTCCTCATTCTCCCTTTACAAAGCGCACACTTTAGCCAGCCTTGATACAGCTCACTAACGGTCTTAGAACTCAAGTAACTGTATTTAACATATAACTATTAATTAGTTCATGTTAAATACCTTCTTGATTAACAGCTAATACTTATAAAGAATAGTTCTTAATGACAAGAAAAATATTACATATATTACAGATATCAATAAAAGAAATTCGATCATTTCCGAATCCATTTTCAAAATTATTGTTTACTGATAAATCAATAAAAATGTGCCAAAACGTAAATGGCATCGTTGGAAAAGAACAAACGAATTGAGTCGTCAAGCTCCGGGTTATGTTATCTAGTAATACTATAGCTTGAAAATAAAGCTAGGAGCATTAGTACTTTGTTATGTCGCATGAGATTTTTTCTTTGGTGGACGAGTTGTAAAGATGTGAAGAGGGATAAAATGGAAAATAAAAGTAAACACAACAAGAATTTATTGTTATTTATTTGGTAATAATGTAGCTTGATAAGAATGCAAGGCACAATTGTATATTTGTATTTGTTGTGATACATGGACCTTACTTTTCAATGGAAAAAGTCACACGACGAAAAATCCTCAAAGCGAAAGATAGCGGGTTTTCGTGCTTGGTTGAAGTTGCGATCGTAGTGCTGTCTTGGTTCAATGGGATCGTATGATGGGGTATTGAGTACGACCGCTTCTTTTGATGCTAGGCCTTTGGTGAATTATGTTTTTTGGCCAAAATGACTTGTTCTTCTTCGAATTCGATATATCGCGAATCTCGGTGCAGTGTATATTAATTTTCGGTATATAATATAATAAAATAATAGTATATTATTCTAAGGTGTCATGTCACCAAAAAAAAAAAAAGGAAAAGACTCGTCTAGGTCATTTAAAAAAAAAAAAAGGAAAACAAGATGTAGAAAATAAGAAGAAAGTTCTCTGTTGTAGCTTAAAAATAACGCAACTAAGGTGCATTAGGGTTTAATAGAGTATAAATAGTTGGTAATTTGGGGGAAGTGAGCACAGAGAGAAATCAGAATCCCTAAGCGAGAGAAAAATCATGTCATCGTCAGAGAATGGCAAGGTGATCATGGTCAATGATTTTGTAAGGTTGTCGAATGAGTTTTTTGGGGATGGTTGGGAACCGACTCGGGAGATGTTGGCCAGCAGCGCGAAAGAAGCTCTGAATGAAATCGCCGGCGATGATTGGGAACTCCGTCATCGTTGCATCAATAGAGCTTTGGCTAACTTGAGGGTTGTACACGAGTATAGGAAGCAGATCAACCGTAACAAAAAGGCTGCTGAGGAAGCAGCTAGCGGAGTTACCTCATCGAACTCGGTAAGTTCTGTTGTTTCCTTTAAATCTGTTTTAATTTGCAGCAAAAACTAATTAAGGGAATTTTGGTACTAGTTAAAGTGTTGAATTGGTTTTATTCTCTAATCAGGCTACCACTAATGAGGTGAAGATTACTACGGCCTGACTCATGTGAGCTTCGAAAACATTATGTGAAGACTAAAGACTACTACGGCCTGACTTAGGTTTTGCTTTTTTTTTTTCCAAGTGGAAGACATTATCTATCTTTTGAATTGTTTTTTTCAGAAATTTTTTTAATCTCTAATAGATAGTGTAAACAATTCCGAAACTCATTTAATTCAATAATGAGTTAATTAATTGCCTCATTTGATTTGGTTCCCTTTATGAACTGAAACTAAACCGAGTAAACTCTAGCATCCTTGTAATTGTCTGATCTCACCATAATCTACAAGCATTCAAGCAATTTTTCAATGCTACATGGACACACAGAAACAAAACAAAAAACAAAGCAAGTCCCTTGAGAATCTCGCTAACCACTGGTTCCTCTCTTTCATTACTCATTTTTTAGTATCCAATTCTCCGATTTTGAGTGTGATTGCAATCTTCATCGACCTCGGTAAGTTTTGTTGTTTCCTTTAAATCCGTTTTGCAGCCAAAAAGTAATTAAATAATTTGTACTAAGGTGAAGACTACTACGGCGTGACTGATCGTGAGCTTTGAGATCGTTATGTGAGACTTAATTAGGGTTTGTTTGTTTTTTTTTTCCCAAGTAGAAGACATTAAATATTTCTCTATCGTTTGATTTAATCTCTAATAGACATTGTGAGACTCCATTTAATTCAATAATGAGTTAATCACCTAGTTTTGTTTAGTTCAAGAGAATAAACTCTGGAATCCTTTTTCATCAATTCTATATGCACAAGATGCATAGCAATCAATCATGAAACCGATCTATGGTAACTTGTTTGTGATCGATCAGTCACAATGAAACGTACGTCTCTGTGTTAAATTATGTATGTGTGCTTGTCACGTGATGGTTTAATATATCCGCGGATTAATCCGGTTAACAAATTGTTTAAATTACAGAACCCTTTCCGGTTCGACAATAACCGAACCGAAAAAACCGGATTTTTTTCTTTCTCCTTATCACCTCTGAGTGGAAGTTGAGTGAGAGCCATTGTAGGAAGAGCTTCGAGAAAGAAGAAGAAGCCATGACTATGGCTCTTGCTTCTTCTAAAGCTTTTTCCTCAATCTTTTATGCTTTAACTCCATTCAATCCATCGAATTATGTGTTAGCTTGCTCTGGTTCGAATCATGTAAACGTCGTTGATCGGAGAAGAAGAATCGTGATCTTCGGTTCGAGTTTGGCGCTCGCGTCGTCTCTGATTGGTTCCAATCAAAAGAGACTTCCGATGGAATCTGCGATCGCATTGGAGCAATTGAAGGAAAAAGAAGATGAGCTTGAGGAAGAAGAAGAGAGAAATGTCAATCTCTTCCAGGTTTTGTTCTAACTTTTCCTTTGAGAAGCTTTGTCTTTTGCTCTCATGGTTAAAAAAACAATTCCGATTTTGTTTTTTGTAGAAAACTTCTCCGTCTGTTGTCTACATAGAAGCCATTGAGCTGCCCAAAACGTCTTCTGGTGAATTTAGTGATGAGGAAAATGCAAAGATCGAAGGGACAGGTTCAGGCTTCGTTTGGGATAAGCTTGGTCACATTGTAGGCAAAACCTTTCTTTCTGTTATGTTTATGTGTTCTGAATCCTGGAAAAAGTGAAAGCTTGTTTCTTTGTGCAATGTAGGTGACAAATTATCATGTCATTGCCAAGTTAGCTACAGATCAATTTGGATTACAACGTTGTAAGGTCTCCATCTTCTTTAATCCAATAGTAGTTTAAAATCACAAAGCCAAGTCAAGTAACTTTAGAGCAATCACAGTTTGGTTGTTTGTGTAGGTTTCTCTAGTTGATGCTACGGGAACAAGATTTAGCAAGCAAGGGAAAATTGTGGGTCTTGATCCAGATAATGATCTAGCTGTGTTGAAGGTATATCTAAGAGACTAAGACAATGATGTTAAACATATTTTCAAACCATTTGAGCAATACTTGTTTAGTCTAGTGTTATATATATGCAGATTGAAACCGAGGGTCGCGAATTAAAACCTGTTGTTCTCGGTACCTCCAATGATCTACGCGTAGGTCAAAGTTGCTTTGCGATCGGGAATCCGTATGGATATGAAAACACATTGACAATTGGGGTAAGAGTGATAAGATCCTGAGTTTTGTGTTCATATATACGCTAAAGTCTAAACATTTCACTTGAAAATGGATTGTTATCATGGGGGCTTTGTAGGTAGTGAGTGGATTGGGAAGAGAGATACCTTCACCTAATGGTAAGAGTATTCGAGAAGCTATACAAACCGATGCTGATATTAACTCAGGTAATTCACAAACACATCTATCAATTCTCTCCTCCCATTCAGTTTTATGAAAATCGCTGTTTTTTCCGTCATGTAATATAGGCAATTCAGGAGGGCCGTTGCTTGATTCTTATGGCCATACCATAGGCGTGAACACTGCCACATTCACCCGAAAAGGTGAAATGTGATCTTTTACCAAATCTAAGAACATAACCATTACTCTATTCTTTGATTCTCTGTTTTTTCCAACACAAATAAGATACTGAAGAGATAACTTCTTGTGTTGCAGGGAGTGGTATGTCTTCCGGTGTGAACTTTGCTATTCCCATAAACACCGCAGTTCGAACAGTACCCTACCTCATTGTGTATGGAACAGCTTACAGAGACAGATTCTGAGAAAAACAAACATCTTCTTTGCAAATTTTCTATTATTTGTTGATAATACAATTTGAAAAGTTTCAGACTTTTGGCTCTCTAAATGTAAATACAAAAATTCCAATGTATGTATACATATTTCTTCACGAAAACATGTGAATCATTAATCATACAAGGACATGGAATGAAGTTTTGATTTTGGGCATAATGAAGAGACTAAATCCATGATAAGACCTATTGATGAAACTTGGAAAGATTCTCTCATGAAGTCTTAAAAGAGGCACTACTCTTTCAGCTGAATCAATGAAAGCTGTTCCTCGATAGAACAATCGACATGGCAAGATGTCCTGCAAGAGGAAGGGATTAGGATCATACCAAGACAACGCTGTTCAGTAGGCGAAGGAGACGATTTTCTTATGCTGCGATACTCGACAGTGTCCTGAAGAATGATGTTTCCTTGTTTGTCTATGCAATGGAAATTTCCAAGGAAGAATCTCCCGTCTTTGATTCCCACAAGCATCTGGCGGAACAAGAGCTTCCTCACTCGAGATATCGGATCTAAATCCGACCCTTGAGAGGTTGATGCAACAAGGGTTGAGCTTCTCTCTGCAGCTTGTTCCATTCCAACAACAAGCTTCTTATTCTTGTATATGCTTTACACCAGAAACAAGCTTAAACATCAATAACACAACTTTGAATCTTCTTATAGATACAATAACTAAAGTTCAAAACTTCTTGAAAACGATTCTCTGAAACTCTAGGATACATCTGGTTCTTGGCTCAATAATTCAAACAGGGAAAATTACGGAATCTAAACGTCTATAAACTTAACACATATGAACCAAAATCCAACTAATTTTCCAAGGAGAAATCCTAGTTTCACAACTTCGAATCTAGCGATGCAAACAGAAGTGGGAAAAAAAAAAAGATTTGAAATTCAAAACGAAACTGTGGGTACCCGAAAATTCTCAATGCAGTACACAAGTATGAGTTGTGTATAGAGATCAAACCTTAGGGTTTTCTTCAGTTTCGATTACAGAGTTTTGCTTTTTTGTTAAAACATAGAGAAGAAGCTCAAAAACAAAAACAAAAGGCTTGTATACATAATTGCAGTTATGGGCCTTGTATTTTTAAAACATTTTGTTTTTATCTCCTTTAATTTTTTAAAGTTAATTTTACACCCTTGTTCGCAATATTCAAGTGTTGCAAGATGAATAAATTTTGAATTTTCCCCAAAATATATATGATTAATTGAAGTATCACTTTTTCATAATCGTTAATACCAACATATAAGTAAAAACTTTGCACCAAATAGGGTCTTATTAATCAATTTTGAAGTAATAGGACCAATCACAAAAACAAAAAAATACAGGTTGGTCTTCACGAACCGAGGAGATCAAAGGTCCTTTAGTTAGTTCATCTTCTCTTCCGTCATCATCTTCCGAAGGGCTTTCTCCGACCGATCTCAACACTGTTACAAAGTTGTTCTTTTAACCTCGGAGAATCTCTGTATGAAACTCTTCCATTGTCTTACTAACCTTTTTTTAGATACTTTCGTATGTCTTGTTATAACCTTCAAAATTGAACACATTTGTCACTTTGATTTTCTCTAATCACACCCAATTTCATTAATTCTTTGACTTGATTACTCTTAATCTTAACTGTTCTAAGCAAAAGTTTGCTACTTTACGTTATTTTAATAAGCTTTTGATCTCAATCTGTTTCCAGGTTCTCTGTACACTAACAATGGTAGAACGCAAGAAACGGAAACAGAATCAGAGAAACAACAATGAGAGCAACCGGAATCAAAAGAGACGAATTTCAAATAATGGTGAAAAGATCAATAGAGATGAGCTTGTGATTTACAGAATCTTATGTCCTATTGATGTTGTTGGAGGTGTTATAGGCAAGAGTGGTAAAGTCATCAATGCCATTAGGCATAACACGAAAGCCAAGATCAAAGTTTTTGATCAGTTACATGGTTGCAGCCAAAGAGTCATAACAATCTATTGCTCGGTTAAAGAGAAAAAAGAAGAAGAAATCGATTTTATGAAGAGCGAAACCGAGCCTCTTTGTTGTGCGCAAGATGCTCTTCTTAAAGTTTATGATGCAATTGTAGCTAGTGATGAAGAGAACATTAAGATAGATAGAGATGATAAGAAGGAATGCCTTCTTTTAGTTCCGTCTAGTCAATCTTTTAGTTTGATTGGTAAGGCTGGTGAGAACATTAAGAGGATAAGAAGTACAACTCGAGCTAGTGTTAAGGTTGTTTCGAAAGATGTTTCGGATCCTTCACATGTTTGTGCCATGGATTATGACAATATAGTTGTGGTTAGTATCTGAAGTTTTCGCAATCTTTAAGCGTATTTACTTGCTTGTTCTTTGCCTGTTTTCTATTGATGTTTTTTCGGTCTTTTGATTGAATAGATATCTGGTGAGCCTGAATCCGTGAAGAAAGCGCTTTTCGCTGTTTCTGCAATCCTGTACAAGATCAATCCTCGAGAACATATTCCTCTAGATTCAACCGGCCAAGATGTTCCAGCTAGTATTATAGTTTCATCAGATCTTTCTAATTCTGTCTATCCTCAAACTGGATTTTACTCAAATCAGGATCATATTCTTCAGCAACGAGCGGGTGTTCCGTCATATTTCAATGCACTATCTGTATCTAACTTTCAAGGTTATGCAGAAACCGCTGCGAATCCAATGCCGGTTTTTGCTTCTTCTCTCCCAGTGACTCATGGGTTTGGTGGGTCTTCCAGGTCAAAAGAGCTGGTTTTAAAAGTGTTGTGCCCTTTGTCCAATATTACCCGTGTAATCGGGAAAGGAGGATCAACCATTAAAAGAATAAGAGAAACAAGCGGTTCTTGTATTGAGGTTAATGACTCAAGAACAAAGTGTGGTGATGATGAGTGTGTTATCATTGTCACTGCTACAGAGGTTTGGTTCTGCCTTTTATCTTTATTTATAAGTTATGACGATACTGTGTTGTTGTTTGAGTACTTCTTTCCTTTTTTGGGGTGTTTTTCTTCAGTCTCCTGATGATATGAAGTCTATGGCTGTTGAAGCTGTTCTTCTTCTGCAAGAGTATATCAACGATGAGGATGCGGAAAAAGTTAAGATGCAACTTTTTGTTTCTTCTAAGGATATTGGATGTGTTATAGGGAAAAGTGGCTCAGTCATAAACGAAATCAGGAAAAGAACCAATGCTAATATCTGTATCTCGAAAGGGAAAAAGGATGACCTTGTTGAGGTTATAATCCTTATTAAAGTTCAATTTTTTCTTCTGTTGCTTATAATTTGAATTGGAAATTCAAGTTGTTTCTATCCATTAGGTAGCGGGTGAAATCAGCAGTGTGAGAAACGCTATCATTCAAATCGTTCTAAGACTTCGAGAGGATGTTTTAGGAGATAGAGATAGTGTTGCTGCTAGTAGGAAACCTCCTGCAAGAACTGATAATTATAGTTTATTCTCGGGTAGTAGTAATGCCGGTTATACACTTCCGTCGTTCATGTCTTCGGCTTCTTCAAGCGGTTTCCATGGTTATGGAAGCTTTCCGGTAAAGTTGCATATTGAATTTTTGTTGAATCTTTTATGGTTAATTCCATAACATGACTTAGGCTTTTTTTATATACAGGCAGGAGATAACGTTTTTGGATCAGTCAGTCCATACTCATTTGGACGGTAAATTTGCAAACTACAACGGATAAGTTGGCTTCTTTGTTTTATCATTTAGACTCTTTTTCTCTGTTTATTTATAGATTGCCTTCATCTTCTGCTCTGGAGATTCTAATCCCGGCGAATGCAATGAGTAAAGTTATGGGCAAAGGAGGAGGCAATTTGGAAAACATAAGAAGGGTTTGTTTCCGATATCTTTTGAAAACCGTTATTTTGGTTTTCTTCTTCTCTTTTTTTTTTTATTTGTTGATTACCTGTATCTCTTCAGATATCGGGAGCAATGATAGAAATATCCGATTCCAAAACGTCACAGGGTGATCACATTGCTCTCCTATCCGGCACACTTGAACAGATGCGTTGTGCAGAGAACTTAGTCCAAGCTTTTATTATGTCCACTTGAAAATTAGTTTGGGATCATTGGACTGAGATTAAATATTTTCCTTCTCTCTGTCTATAGCCTTTTGTCGAGTTTCATCTCTTCGGCTTATTGTTCGGTTTAGCAAGCTGTTAGCTCGATTAAATGTATTTCTCTAACAAATGGTGCCATTTTCGGTATCAAGCTTTTGCTTAATTCACTGAGCTTGAAACCGGCTCTGTTGTGCAGGTATAATCTTATTGGTTTTGGTATCATCATTCATTCTAGGTTCTTGATACTTAAAATCATCTTCAAGATCTCAATAGTCTTTATGCTCTCAAAGGTTTTTGACTCTTTCAATGGAGATCATGTTGTGAGGCTTGAGACTCATTCTTTTGCTATCTAATTTGGTTTGGTTCGGTTCAACGGTTATGTGGCTGAAATTTATAGTTTATACATTTTGCCTGTACTTGTATTCTTATGAGAAACGTAACTAATATGCATCAATGCAAAAAGTACGTGAAGTCGTGTCGTGAACAAGAATCCAAAAGTACATTGTGTAAATGATATTAGACATATCGTGACAATATGTTAATGTCATTACGTAAATATGTATATGTCTGTGATCAGCACATGTACATACGGAGGAATATAAACACATTCATATGATTGGTTGGTTTTTTCCTATTTTATAATATGTGTACGATCATAACAAGGAAACTAAATAATTGTGAGAAATAATAGTAGATCGATGATCTGGAAATCTTGTTACAAATATATTTAGCTGGATTTTATTTAAATTATTTTCTTGAATTATGATGCAAGAGTGTGTTATTTAGGACGGAAGAATCTTGGATGTTTCATAATCTTTTGTTTCTCCATTTTCGAGTTATGTTGCTGCTTTTGCATTTAATAGTCACATGTTTCTCTGTTGTACTCCATTATTATTCATCATATTCTTATATTTTATCATAACTTTTCTATATAATTTTCCCACCAATATCTTACTTATTCTTTACAAAAAAATTAAAATTTTAAGGCTTTCACTTAAAAATATTCACAGATTTATTATGTGATATATTGTATATGAATTTTCAAGAACAATAAAATCCAAATGAAAGAGTTAACAATGTAAGAGAATATCTTGTACGGAGGGACGATTTTTACGTCGACGACCAAAGGTGGGAAACGGCGGGACGTGCAAACTAAGAATAGACACATGACACGACGTCGACGTGCATGTGACACCAATATCTGCGGCTTTTTTTACTTGCTTGCGAAGTCTCTCCCTCTTATCGATTCAGATCTAAATCAATGCTCTGTAGTCTGTACTGTGGCCATTTCAGATTTAACACATGACTTGTCCAAAACATTTTTCAAATCTTTTTTCTTTTCTTCCGACTATATATCATCTCAAACTATATCGAGGTAACGATGTTGATTATGGTAACACTTAATAAGTTGTGCGATGAATGTATCTTTGGTTATAGTCGGCAAAACTTTTTTTATCAATTGCTTATTGTAAGGAAATATATTTTCGTTAGAAGAAGAAGACTTTGAAACCCAATTATATGTGAGAAATTTGGAATTTTAAAAATTGTTGTCTGAGTTAAAGTTGTTAAATTGGAAAAATATAAAATATTTGAAAAGTATACCAACATATATAATGCAGGTTGTGTTTCTGGCCATTCCTATCATTGAAATCCAATTTTCCATTTGATCACATATTAAAAAATAAAAGATATGTCCTAGAAATAGACTAGAGCACTAGCTAGGAAGAAAATCCAATTCATTCTCAACAAATGAATGACCTAACGACTTATCATGTGGTACAGCTAAGTCGAAAATCTTTTATTGAGTGTATTGTTTATAAGTTATAATACAATCCATATCATGCGAATGAATAATTTTATATAGAATAGTAACTATATAACTGTATCTTCTCTTCTATCCATATTTGATTATTGAAGGAAGAAGACCCACGAAGCATTACAATTATTTGCGACCGGTGAAC